GGGGAGAATGACTTAACGGGAAAGACACTGCAACGAGTTTGTTCCTTGTGTTTTCCAAAGCATGGGGTGACCTGTGGCCTGGCGGGGGAGGGGGTGGGGTCCTCACCTGAGTCTACAGACAGTCACACTATGGACATGCATGGTGGCAGCACAGCTGTGTGTGTGTGTCAGGTCACCTGGGCAAGCCCACCAGGAGCCAAGTGCCCAGGGGCCTCTGGGAGCAGTGAGCGCTGCAGATAAAACAAGCTAGCCCATCTCTGCCATGGCCAAAACACAACTGGGGCCAAGATCTGTCTCCAGGGGCCCTTGGTGAGATTATCCTCAAGGTCAGGTTCATCATCATACCAGCACCACTGCCGTTGCAACAGCAGATGCTTGTGAACCAAACCCTGTGCCCGGAATTCGTATTGTCTCATTTTCGGCAATTCTAGGGGTAGGTGCAAGTACTACTCCACTTTGTAGATGAGCAAACTGAGAAAGCCTTCTTTTTTAAAAAAAATAATGATGTATTTATTCACTTGAAAGGGTTACAGAGAGAGAGAGAGAGCTGTCCACTCCCCAGATGGCCACAATGGCCAGGGCTGGGCTAGACCGAAGCCAGGAACCTCAACCAGGTCTCCCACATGGGTGGCAGGGGACCAAGCACTTGGCCATCTTCTGTTGCTTTTGCCAGGCCATCAGCAAGGAGCTGGATGGGGAGTGGAGCAGCCAGGATAGGAATGGGTGCCCATATGGGATGCTGGTGTTACAGGCAGTGGCTTTACCTGCTATGCCACAGTGCCGCCCCCTTGAGAGGGCTTTAAATGACTCGCCTAAGTTCAAACAGCAAGGAAGTAGGTGACGGAGCCCAGCCAGGCCTGGCTCACACTGGAGGCTGCATCTCAGCCACCGCCTTAAGTAGCTTTCATTGCTGTGGCCACACTCTACAGTTTACATGGCTGAGAAAGCTCTTACACACCCATCATCTCTCACATAACATTCACAGACGTGCACTGGCCCATTTTCCAGCTGAGAAAATTGAGTCCCGGAGAAGGTGAATGTGTGGTCCATGGCAAGCGAGAGGCAGAGGCGGTCTCTTTATCAGGCTGTGTGTGAGGGAGGACAGCCAGGTAGAGGAGGCACTGCCGTGCAGGAGGGAGAGAATTCTGTCCAAAAGGGGGCAGCAGCTGTCTGAAAGATCAACTAGGGAGACCGACAAAGGCTTGGTCTGCTTCAGAGCCTGCCTGGGACCCGGTGCTGCCCTCAGATCCCTCCCTCGGGCTCTCTGGTGAAGCCGCTGTCAGACCAGAGCCCTGTTGAGACAAAGCTGCCTCCCTCCCAGCCAGGCCCCAAGTCCCAGGAGAAGAGCGGTGGCCGCGCCAAGCCTTCTGGCTTTGATAGCGGTGGTGGCGGCTGCATGACCCCTCTTAAACTCCACGAGGCGACGGAGAGTGTGTTTTGGAAGTCACCTCCAGGCTGGCTCCCCGCCTGCCCTCCTTGTAGATTCCACAAACATCCAGGAGATAAAAGAGGGGATCTCTCAGAGGCAGAGCACAAAGCTCTTCAAAGAGCGCTGCCTATCAGAAGCGGGGTGAGGAGAGAGGCATGTCTCAGGGAGGGATGCATTTATACACCCCGTGTGCCTGTGCACCCCCACGCCTCGGCACACCTGGGCACAGGTGCACCCAGGGGGTCCCTGCCGCCCTGCCGTTCCCGTCCTTCTCTTCCTCCAACAGACCCTGCCTGGGGCTCTGGGGGTCCTAATCTTTCCTGGTTTTCCAGCTCCCCAGGTTCAAGGTCAGACCTACTCTCCTCAAGTGGGGGTTGCACCGTCCCGACTTTTCTGGATTTCCACCCCTAAAGTAAAATGTCCCCGCCTTGGGTCCCTGTCAGCTCGTCTCTTTGCTGACAGAGTAAGCTGGCGTCTCCTACCAGCTTCTTCTCTTCCACCCCTCCGACGCATTTGAACCTGCTGACTGCCCAGCAAAGCGGGGCCATTAAACAGCACTAGACCTCTTACAGCCTGGCAAAGCCAAGCCTGGGATTTGACAGCCGGGAAGGAGCTTAGAGAGCATCACGGGGAGCCCCTTCCTTTCAGAGTTGCGCAGAGCATTCCAGAGAGACCGGGACCTGGCCTAAGGTCATGGTGAGCCTGCGGCCCAGCTGTAGCAGGAACTGGTCTTTGATGTCTTGTCCACTGCTCTTTCCCCTGGGGAGCAAGTGGCCAGACCAGCGGCCAGAGGAGCAGGAGGCCTTGGATGAGCCGCAATCACAGCCACACCCGTCTCGGCCTCCGGCGCCCGCAAGGTCAGGCATTTCGGCAGTGCCAGCCCCCTTCCTTGTTGGTGTGGTTTCATGGCACATTATCTCCTCATCTGAAAGCTGCCTTGGAGCGTAATGTCTTTTTAACTAAGGTAAAAGAAAATGAAGGCGCATCTTTTGGAATAATCTGATTGTGCTGAGACCCCAGGGTGCAATGGAGCTCAGGCAGATAATCACTCTTCTATACGGAGTCAATTAAACATTAAAAACACCACCGCAAAGCCGCTTGTCACTGCCCTCTCCCGTCTCCTTCTCTGCCTCCTCTGCCCCCAGCTTACTCTTGATTGGGGACAAAGACAAACAAGGCAGGGGGTGCTGAGTGGGCAGGTTCCCTGCAGACCCGGCTCAGGAAAGTGCCTGTCTGTGAGCAGACAGGCACGCCACGTCCCTGCGTGTGGCCACGCTAGCTGTATTCAGGAAACAGCGTCGGCGGCACTGAACACAGGCTGCTGTCCACACCTAGCTTTCTCTCTGTAGGGATGTATGGAATTGTTTGGCATAAAGTCATTGTCAGCCAACTTCTGTAGACTTGTGAAATTATTTTCCACGTTTTAATCCAAAGGTTACCCTTTCTGGAGGACAGCGGGCATGTGGAAAGGAAACATGAAGACAGGGACATAGAGTTTGGTTCATTGATTTGGATTTTAAAAAAAAGCAGAGAAAGCACTAGATGCCGTGTGTACCTCGTGCCCGTTGTATCAGCTTTAGTTTTCCTAATCTTTACTTCACTTCCTGGATTCCAACTCATTTAGCTCTTGCTTCCTTGCTGCAAGTCTCGGGCCCCAGTCAGGATAGAGGCACAGTAGCTGCAGGACATTTGTAGCTGATGTCTGTTACTTTGTGTTCACACTCGCAAGCCGAGGCTAAGTCAGTGTCCGCGATGCTGGGGAGCTGAGATTCTGGAAGTGAGAGTCCCCAAAGGAAGGCGCCGCCAATCCGTCATCAGACCCCACTCTGTGAGCCCAGGCTTGATTCGCTTGACAGCAGTAATCAGCACCCTGCTGGGAAAACACAGAATGAGCCGTTCGCGTTGTCCACTTGTTCCGCATTTCTTGCATCTGCACAGGTTCGTGTACGTATGCCTCGCTTCGTCAAGCCCTTGAGTTTGTTAACCTGTGCTGGGTCATGTGACCACTTTAGCAGCTGGGATGCTCATTGGGGTTGGGGTGTGGAAGAAACTTAGCTTGGCCGGTAGATTTGCCTTCCCGTGCACAAATCATAGTTGTCTTTTGTGTGAGACGATGGCCAGGGTATCTGTCTCCCTGGGAAGAGTCATGTGTATGTGTGTGCGTGTATGTGTGTGTATCTGTGTGCATGTGTGTGGCTGACCTGTCTGTACAAGGTAGGACACCTCACTGTTCCTCATTTCTTTCTTTATCTTTTCCATCAACAGATCTACTAGCATTAGAAGGAGCCAAGGGAGCTGGAATGTAATTTGTTGGAGCCAGTCTGGGTTACAAGCGTGGTTCTTAAATCATAGCATTGTGTTCGAATCACGTGGGCACCTTGCTCTGTACACGGATTCCTGCTGCCTACTGGCAGAGTCTGATCCAGGAGTCTGGGGTGAGCCCCGAGCCTTCCCGTGTCAGCTGTGCTGGCAGGCGATTCGAAGGCGGGCGGCCCAGACTGCGTCTTGTGAAGTGCTGTTAGAGAATTGCTGAGAAGGGCCTGGCACGCTCTCTGTGTCTTGGTTTGTGGATAAGGCCAAGGAAGCATAGAGAAGTGAAGTGACCAGCCTAGGTGGGGTAGTGTAGTAGTCACTGCAGAGCGTGGACTAGAACTGAGCGCCAGCTCTGGGCTTCCCCACTGCCCCAGGGACACCAGAGCAGACCAGCAGGAATGGGCTCGCCTTCAACAGGATGGATCCAAATTAGACCGAAAGAAGAACTTCCTGACTGTGCAGGGTACTGAGGGATTCTATGCGTCCCCCTTCCAGAGGGCTTCATTGAGGCAGGACGTTCACTATAGAAGTGGGTGCTTGAGATGCAATCTGGGAGCAAAGAGACAGGAGGGAAACTCTTCAGAACAAATGCTGGCGAGCTTGCTTTACAAGGGCTAGACTTGTCTCTCGGTCTTGCTCGTGGCACCTGAATTTTGCCCTGGACAGCAACGTAAGCGACCAGAGATCTGGGAGGCCCGACTCCAGCAAGGAGGAGCTCTGTGCTGTTGGGCTCTGTGCTCCCTGTCTTGTCTTCCATTTCCTCAATGTGAAACAAACGGGGTTGCACTGGACTGCTCCTAATGCCTGTGCTGCCAGCATTTTTACCCACAGCCTCACTGGGTGCAATCTCTCACACAGCAGAGGCACTCCGTGAAATTTTATTGACTGAAGAAATTAATACGTTAAATAAAAACTACTCAAATTGGAGAATCTAGGAGCCTCCTTACCTACCAGTTTCCCCCTCCCAGAGTCTCACCTTGAGACAGCTGGAGACTGATCGATCCCCTGGATTCAGAATTATTTATGTATTTAGAGCAGTCTAATCAAAAACAGACATGGGGGATAGCTTTGATACCTGTGTCTTCTGTCATTTCATGATTGCTCACATCTCGGATGTGCCGTTATCAGAGGAGTCACTCCCTGAGCTGTGAAGCCAACCCAGACCCACATCTCTTTGGCACTGGCAGCCTCTGGTCACGGGTCCCGGTGCCCATCTCACGTGGCCACCCCACTGACCAGCTCTCTCTGTTTCTTCCAGAAAGCAGATCTGGCTGTGGCCGGCCTCACCATCACAGCTGAGCGGGAGAAAGTGATTGATTTCTCGAAGCCATTCATGACTCTGGGAATTAGCATTCTTTACCGGGTTCATATGGTAAGAGACTTATTTTATAAGCATTTATGTCATTAAAGTTATTTGCATGCAAACACTGAGTTACATAGTAATAATGAATGATTCACAGAAATATTTAGATTTCAGGACTTAAATGCAAATGTGCTGGGCTATTTTTTCCCAGATCAGCTGCAGGAACTTGCAAACAGGAGGGGTGGGGGGAAAAATCGCACTTGTGGGTTTTCCAGTAAAAATTGCTTGTGCCTCACTGAGTAGCGACGGCGGAGAGTGATGGTTTGGGGCTTGGTGCGCAGTGCATCGGTGATCGGCCCCATCGTCACTCTGCTTCCTCTGGGGGGCGCTGTCACCCCAGCGTTCTCAAGGACCGCACCGGCTCCCAGGTGCAGCTGTGTTCACTCCCAGCAGTGCGTCTGATGAGACAGCGTAGACTTCCTTCGCCCTGGATTGTTCTGGTAAAGGCAGTGTGGATAATCTGGCCTGCCTCCTTTTCTTTTGGCGTTTCCTAAAAACCAGAGTTCTCTGGCAAGGTTGGCTACAGTGAGCGTCCAGTGAATCTGCGGGAGCACACAACAGGCAGCCAAGGGTAGACATGACCTCTAAGCGTACTGGCTGGAGTAGGGTACGGGGCAGAGGAGCCCTGTCTGGGTCTCATCCACCAAGTGGATAGTCGTCACCCCTCCACCCCATAGCTGCTGTCTACACCTGCTTTACCTTACTGGACCGCCAGAGCTTTCCTTTCCTCTGTTCATCCAACCTGGCTGCAAGTGCTCATCTCTCACGTGCATTTCCCCACTGCTCTGGGACGCGAGTCACTGTCGGTGTCCATCACTCAGCTGCCAGTGGGTACTCCAGTCTCTAACCTGGCACCATGAGATGGCCCAACAGGGGAGGGACCAAGAGGTCACCCCATGGGCCTGCTGAAGAGGTGACGCCTTCCCAGGCTGCACGTCCCAGATCCAGAAGAAGGAGAAGTGCTGCCTCCGCAGCCGCAGCCTGGCTCCTGTCATTGGCAGCTGTCAGTGGCTCTGGTTTCTCCAGGCAGCCGGCTCAGCTGCTGAGTTCGGCCTTGTCCTTTGCCAGGCCTGGGTGCCCATCATGGACAGATGGATGTTGCCCAGCTTGGGACAGATGGCTAAATGACGTGGAAGAAGAGGCATCATCATCCAAACCTCGAAGTCCCCAGCCTGAGACAGACAGAAATGTGAGGGTGCAGTGGCTGTCGGTGCAATTGCTGATGTGTCTGCGTTTGCTAGAATTAGGGGCACCTGAACTCGCCAAGCCAGCCTCCTCTTGCTCATTCTTTTTCAACTGAATTTTTAATTTTTTCAATTGACACTTCAAAAGTGTCCGTAGTTCCTATTCATTGAGCACCTCCTGTGTGCTAGAGACTCCAGCAGGGCCCTGTGATGTGGGATGTTGTTATGGGTTGCATGGTGTCCTCCCCAAAAAAGAGATGTTGGAGTCCTAATCCTCAGGACCTGTGAAGGCGACCTTGTCTGGACAGAGAGTCTTTGCCGGCCTATTTTTTGTTAAAAGGATTTATTTATTTGACAGAGTGACAGAGAAAGGCAGAGAGAGACAGGCATAGAAAGAGAGCTTCTATCTGCTGGTTCACTCCCCCAAAAGGTCACAATAGTCAGGGCTGGTCCAGGATGAAGCCAGGAGCCTTCCAGGTGGGCAGCAGGGACCCAACGTCTTGGACCAGATTCCGCTGCCTTAACAGGCACCGTAGCAAAATATTCAGGACTCGAACTGGCACTCTACTCTGGGATGCCAGTGTTGGAGGCTATGGCTTAACCCACTGGGCCACAACGCCAGCCCCATCAGCAATGATTTAAAGAAGAGGTCATATTGGCTAGAGCGGATCCTAATTCGATAATGCGTATCCTTATAAATAGAGGGGAATTTGGACGCAGTCCCATGGGGGCGGATGCCGTTGGAATTGGGAAGCAGGGCTTAGAGTGACGAACTTAAAGGAAGTCCAACAATTTCCAGCAACCACAGCGGCTAAAAGAAACAAGGAAGGAGGCCCCCTAGAGCTGCAGAGACGGCCCGGTCCTGCCGACAGCTTGATTTTGGTCTTCCCTCTTCCAGAACCGTGAGCTGACATGTGCAGGTTCTTTTAAGCCACCCAATTGCTGGCCTTTGTGATGGCAGTCCTGGGAAACTAACACAGTACTGCTGTTCCTATTTTGACAAAAGGAAATGGAGGGTTTTTTTTTTAATATTTATGTGGGTTTTTTTTTAAATATTTATTTATATGAAAAGCAGAACAACAGAAAGAGGGTGTGTGTGTGGAGGGGGAGAGATAGACAAAGAGAGATTGTCCATCTTCTGGTTCACTCCCTAAATGGCCGCAACAGCCAGGGCCAGGCCAAAGCCAGAAGCCAAGAGCTTCATTTGGGTCTCTCAAGTGAGTGGCAGGGGCCCAAGCACTTGGTCCGCCCTCCACTGCTTTTCCAGGCACATTAGCAGGGAAGCTTGAAGAGAGAAGCAGAACTTGAACCCGTATTCCCAAATGGGATGCCAGCGATGCACGTGGCACCTTAACCCACTGTGCCGCAACACTGGCCCCAAAGTGCAATCAGTTTAAAAACTGGACAGGGGCTACTTGCTAACAAGTGAAAGAGCAGGGCTTCACCCAAGAGTAGTGTGATTCGGGTCTATGCTCTCTGTGGTCCCAGCTACCACCCTGGTACATGGAATTTTTGAATCCTTGTCCCGTAAGGCACTTGTGCAGCCCCTTTTTTGTTTGGTTCTCTGGAGCGCGGTTTGAGGAAAGAGGCCAGGCACTGTAATTGCCAACATACAGAGACGGAGACCAGAGTCGGGCAGAGCTGGGCCTGGAGTGTAAGTCTTCCTGCCCAAGGACAGGGTTCTCATCATTGTGACATCAGTCAGGACTCCCGAGGCGGTTCCAGCCAGCACCATTTCTCGTTTCCACCCACACACACTGAACCCTGAGGAGGCATCCGAAAGAAATGAAGAGAGACAGCCTGTCTCCAGATTCCTCTGTCTGGCCTGTGATAGCCATGAAGCCATCTCTGCCCTTGATTTCTTGATTAACACAGATAGAACGAGAGCCCTGCTGGTGACCCATGCCGATGGGGGAGGCACCTGACCCCAAGTCATCTGCAAACACCTGCAACTAGGCTATCTCGTCACAGAGAACCAGAACTGAACCCCACGTCACTGACCCATGGGGATCCTGCATTGGATTGTTGACTGACTTTGTCCTATCACCCGCAGACCTGTGACCTTGTTAGTTCCTGGGATGTTAAGGTTTATGCGTCAGCTCAGCTGGCCTGGGTTGCTAGATGTTTCATCAACCACTAGTCCAGGTGCCACTGCAGAGGTGTTTTGCAGGTGTGATTTACATCCAGCAGGGGTGGGGAACCTTTTTGTCTGCCAAGGGCTATTCAGACATTTATAACATCATCCATGGACCATACAAAATTATCAACTTCAAAATTAGGCTGCTATTGATATATTGGATTTCGAGTCCCTCCTGAGGTTGCCTTGGCAGGGCCAGAGCAAATGATTCCGTGGGCCTTCTACTGCCTGCAGGCTGGACGTTCCCCCTCCCTCCCACACACACACACACACACACATCCTTGAGGAAAGGAGGTGATGCTGTGGGTAGCAAATCAGTTGACGGCTCTAAGAATAAACTGAGGTTTTTTTCTGAAGGAGGAGTTCTGCTGTAAGACTATCATAAACTCCTGCCTGAGTTTGCAGCCTTCCAGCCTGTTCAACTTATGGGCTCCCACTGTCATGTGAGCCCATTCCAACCAATTAATCAATCGGCCAGTCAATAAATCTCCTCTTGGCTCTGTTTTCCTGGGGGACCCTGACCAGTACAGTTCCCCGGTCTGCTGAGGATTCCTCTCCTCTCCCGGCCTCCACACGGAGGCACCACTATGCCACCTGGCTGCTCGGATCTGATTTATAACAGGGGGCCAAGCGGAATAAAAAATGAGTGCTGGCACGAGCAGCTTGCACTGAGCAGAACTGACAGTGTGTGCGCTTATTCAACAAATATTTATCGAGTGGATTGCGAGTGTGAGGCACGATGCTGCAAAAGTCGCGGAAAGTCAGGTCGGGAGGGAACACCCTGAACTGACTAAGCCAGAGGAGCCTGGGTGAGAACAAGGCCAAAGCGCACTGAGCTGCATCTGAAACAAGGGAGGCCGTAGCGGGGACTGCGAAGGGTACAGGTCATCGTGGAGCCCTAAATCAAAAGCACCTAAATCTAAAACTACGTAGAGAAGCTGTCGCTAATGCAGTAGTGAGGATGGAATCGAATTAAAATTCAATACCAGATGTTTATTATTCTGTCGATTTTCTGTACTTGCTGGTTACCCGTGAGCAGAAACATGGCTAATCTAATCTCTCTGAAAATCGCGAAGGCTCCAGACTCTCTGCGCTCTGTGTATGTGAGGTCACCTTGCTGATAAGTGCTGGTTACCTAAAGGTGAGCATCTGGTGGCACTCAAACCTGTGTGTGCAAGTGCAAATCATGCGCCAAGTGGAGATGCCTGGCGAAGAACCACTGCCAAAGCTTCTACATAACAGGCAGCAGCAAGGGTGGCTCTGAGATCAGAAGACAACCAGAAACGTAATTTGTGAGTTTTCAGCAATCTGTGATTATCCAGGCTTTTTCATGAACGTGGGACATCTAGAGTTAATGACGGGATGTTTGCCTTCTTCCCAACATCAGAGCAATCGCTATTTCTGCTCAGGCATTCCTAGGACCAAAATAAGAAGGATGCTTGGATGTTTTTACTCCTTACTCCCCGCAACTCAAGGGGTGAGCTAAGGACTCTGGCTTGGGCATTTTTTTTTTACTGTTGATCTGCTGCATTTTTCAAAAGTCTTTATCTGTCTCTCCCTAAGTAGACCCCAAAGAGAGCTGCAGTAAGGGGAAGGCACTTTCTTGTCAGACCATAGATTTTTTAATGATATGATTTTTGGTGTGGAAAATGTTGATTGCAGATATGCAGTGTATAGGGAAGGGACGG